GAATGTTGTAATGCATGTATAAGCAATACATTTGTATGTAAATGCGATGCGCTTTTATAATATAATGCATATTACAATGCTGAATGACATGCTTGAATGAAACAGTATGCCTATTGCAGCATATGTGGGAGGGCATTTGAAAGTGTTTGATACTAATCTGTTGTGCGAATGATTGTCATTTGAGTGTGCACAACATTTTATTTAGAAGCTCGTAGACGCCTTATGTTTGCTTATACGAGTGTTACAGATCCAGTGGCGTTGTTTAGTAGCACATTATGTCCCATTTTTTTGTGTATAGATGATATTGTTTAGTTCATTTCTTCTGTTAAATGCTATCACTTTCTTCAATATTCAGCTTGCATGAGTATATTTTTGCTGACAGATGTGTTGTGCAGTGCATCAGGGGCCTCCTAGATGTCACTTGCAAATAAGCTGATATTTGGTATGACAGCCTAGCTCTGCAAGTTTAATGCCTCAATTTATAAGTGGTCAATAATTTTTACTAAGAATTACCTTCTTCTGCTTACAGGTGAATAGTAGTGTTTGTTGCATGTTGTTGATTATCATTCATAGGCATATTATTGTGCCTACAACAAATCCTCCATCATTGCTAGTAGGTGTTCGTATTCAACGTATGTTGCACTGTGTATGTTTGCAAGAAGCTTTATTGTTTTTAGGCATGCTAACGTATTCATTTGCGTGTTGACGTAAATTGTCGGTGAGCTGTGTTCATTCATATACCAATTTATGTTTGTTCGCAAAGGACTCATCATCCTTGCAATATATCTGCTATTGCTACTTGCAAGCGAGCTGATGTGTTTGTTGCAATCCCTCATCAGAGCGTGTATAGGTGGCCCCCAGCACGCCGCTAGAGCCGAAAGCGGGATTTGGAGTTTTTAGGATTTGGATGCAGTTATACCTTAGCGAGGAGGTAGCAACAACAGTGTTTAGGTGGCGACGCTGATGATGATTGAGGCACAAAAGCATAAAAACACATTCCTTTCTTCTTTTTTTATTTTTATTTTTCTTTTTTTTTAATCTTTCTCTTTTTTTCTTTAGTTTTTTTATATAATAATAATAATAATACTAAACCTAATAATAGTAGCTAATAACAATAATTAATGGTAATTATAACAAAGAGAAGGGGAAAATGGGTTGAATTTTCTTGCTTGCTGAAAAATGCAAGTGTAAGTTGTTGTTGGAGTGTGAGTTGCTGTGGTTGAGGACAGCAAAGGGGTTGTTATTAGAAGTTCGGGCAAATGGAAGGCCGGTTTATGTTCGGCTGAAAGGGATCGGCTAGTTCAAAGGAAGCAAAGAGGTTGAATATGTGAAGTGTATCGAAGTGCGGCTCCAAGTTCGATCAGGACTCGCGGCTATAGAGGGACGGAAGTGAGGTTGAGTGTCTTACGTGAGTTCGGCTCAATGAAGAGTGATAGAAGTCGTTCGAGCGTGGAGGAAGAAGCGGGCTACGAATTTTGGAGCTCAAGCATGAGGAAGCATTGAGAGTGTGAGTGAGAGAAAGAAGAAACGAACGAAGTGATGCTTCATCTCATTTCAAAAATGCGAAGAGGAGCATGAACTAGGTGGATTTGCACACGCGGGGATGGGCGTATGAATTCAGCGTTGTTTGCAAGACTGTGGATATGAGCAGGATTTCCTGTGGAAAACAGGGATGGGTAGCCGGCAATACAGGATTTCAACAGGATTCAAGCATAAGGATTTCTCAATTTGTATGACAACACCTCGAAAGTTGTGCCATCATCAACTCGAAATGTGTCATTGCCACCTTGAAATTCATACAAGCATTTAGGCAATATTATAATCATTTTTGGGTATTATCGATGTTCTGAACGCAACGACAAATTTTGTTTTACGACCAGACGTCATTCGGGCAGCGTCGCGCATCAATTTTGGGTGTCTGTGGTCGATTTTGATTGTTTTCGACCAATTTGACTGTGAGGGGTCTACTTTTGAGTAAATTTGATATTTTGATCGCAACTGCGCAGTCCATTTGGCGATCAGAGGTTGTTTGAGCACTTAAGTGAAGCGTCGCGCTTGTCGATCATCACTTTTGTCTTTGCTCACATCAATTTGGCGTATACGTGGAGGTCAACACTTGAAAAAGAAGGATTTCCTCTCTCATTGTGGACATAAAACACACATAAGATAGAGATAGTATGTAATATATAAATTGATAGATTTTGAAAGGTAAAGAAGAAGAGTGAATTTTTTTAATAAACAGAAAAGTATTTCAATAAACTATTTGGATTAAAAGAGAGTGAGAAATGATAGTAGGAGATTCTTTCTTAATTTTAATTTTTTCAAGAAGTACTCTTATCTATTACATCAGTAGTATACATTAATAAGGTTTCAATTTTTTGATAAAATTTTATTTTAAAATGAAGCCCTCTCCTAACTTCATGTCTTCAGAAGAGAAACTTCTCTATTTTTTCCTTACTATATGATATATAAATATAGATAAATCTCAATACAAAGTTACAAATTAAAGAGGTAATGAATGTAAATAAACACTATATTATAAAATAAGATAATAAAAAATTAAAATAGCCATAGAACATAAGCCAAGCAAAACTATAGAGCGAAAGTCATTATCATATGAAACTAAGGAGAACACATGGAGAGGCACTGAACAAAAATTAACCACAATTCATTGTCACGTGCCTAACTACATTCAATTGGTTGCATACAAAATGCTACAATAAATACCATACCAAAATTTAGAGAGGCAATGAATATAAATGATACTAAAACTTAAGCAAGATCAACACCATGATAACAGTATTTTTCCTTTTCTTCGATACTCAAGCAAGAGAAAAGCCAACAGGGCTGCATTAATAGTCAGACATAGCATTAACCCTCAGCAATATTAGCAACAGCAAGCCCAACAACTGAGAAAGTTCAGTAACAAAAGCAGCACAAATAGACAAACCTAAATAGAGTATCAACCACAAAATACACATAATAAGTAGTAAGCCAGAGCAATAGAACCAAAAGACAGAACAAAATCAAGTGAACCTATAAATATAACCAACCAATCTATAAACACAGCCAACCGTATCAATAGAAGTAAGAAATTTGTATTTGACGACATCAACAGATAAGTTAAATGGCCAAAACAATAATAGCCCTGGGGCAGGGATTCCTTAATCCATATGAAAGACCTTTGATTGAATAAGTCCACCGGTCTTCTAGCGTTCTACAAGACTAGGAGGGGAGAATTAGGCATTATGCCTAGATGCGAGGATTCTAAAAAAGGACTAAAGTGAAGACTTATTTACAAATATGTAAAGCTAATTAAGACTAAAACAACAAAACATGGCTACTTTCTAACTGAAAATTCATGGTTGTGGTTCCAATCATTTCATCCTTGAAACTAGTGTATGATGCCGAAGAATAAATCCTTCATACTGACCTAAAGCTTGATTTTAGGATCCCCAATAAAACGGGATCTCAAGCGATAACAAGGAAGCTTTGCGGACTAAACTCCGAGAAAAGTGTTTTAAGAACATAAGGGTGACATGATCAACTCGCCTTGGTACTAACCAAGGAGCCCACCTTCGTTCCAACCAAGAAGCATTATGTTATCTTTGAAGTAGCTGCATAATATTATCATTTTAAAGATATGAATTGGTCATTCCCATTTTTCTAGATCAATAGATGATAGCACTCCTGGAGTTATGAGTTTGAGGAATAGTGAATAGAGCAAAAGAGTTGAGTTAGAACAATAAGCAAAGAGAACAGGTTAAGTTAGAGTAGTGAACGGAGCAAATGGATCGGTTAGAGAAGTGGATGGAATCAATGGGTCGAGTTAGTGTAGTGAACAGATTAAATAGGTTTCAACTCATTACTACTTCAAATTGTCTTGCTGTGGCCCAGGTATCGAGATTATGTCTTATTTGATAGCTATGCTTCCACTTAGTGTATTGTTTTTTTTTTTTTTTGTGAATTAGAATTTCTACCACTAAGCCAATGGATCAGGAATGTTCAAACGCTAGAAAATAGAATGAAGGATCTGCTACCACCAAGCAATCCCTTACTATAACTACGGAATCCAGTGCACCAAAAGGTCAATTCACCACAATTGTTGCATTGCTCCCATGTCCACCAGTGTCCCTCTCACCCAAAAAAATAACTTCAAAGCATTGATGAGCAAGGGATTTTTGGGAGGTTTTTTTCCCAATAAAAATGAAACTGAGAGTTGCTTTTAAAAAAAATAATAATAGAATATTCCTTTTAGGATAACACTAGCTAAACAAAGTAGCATGTTTGTAAGAGTAATTACATTAAGGTGGTATAAAGGTAATATGAGGATTTAGGTGGCATAAATTTATATGCTTAGGATGACTTAGAAAGATAAATACCAAATCTCTTTTCGTGAAAACAAGCTGACAAGAAAGACACAAGCTTGTTTGGTTCAAGTTTTTCGCTAAGCTTGCTAGGCAATAATAGGCTATGCAAGATAAGTCAACGAACAAGCCTTAAATGAAGATAAGATGTTTAGTTGGTTAAAAAGAAAAGCTGACTTGAGGTAGGAATTTATTAGGAATAGTTTGGTCGCTTACTTTTTGTTAAGCACATAAAGTTGATTCTCATAAATATCGATATAAAATTGGACAAAGTAAGAGGTTCGATAGACACCGGACCTTGTTGGGATTGGCAAAATAACTGGTGGTTGTGGTTGGAGGCAACATCACAAGAGGCAACTGCCAGAATTAACCTTGCTAGCAATGACAAGAACAAATAGTGGCAACAACAACAACAAGCCATGGCAACCTCGCTAGCAGCAACTATGCTAATGAATGACAGAGGTGGACGACTATAAGCTATCAAAGATGGGAGCTGAAAAAGCGGTTTGAAACCAAACAGAGGCAAAAAGAAATAGGAACCATTTCATTCAATGATATAGCTATTCCATAACATAACATAAGGAAAATATGTCAAAAAAGGCCTCATAGAAATCAGCAATAATAAACACATACCACGAGATCCACACCCTCATTGCCATAATGCCACGGAGTGTCAGACTTGATCACAACAAATGAAACATGAACAGTATCTCCTTCATATGGAACCTGATGGGAGAAGCACTCTTCTCTGTCGATCACAATCCTAATCCCAACAGCTGATTGCAAACATGACAGAAGACCCAACACTAAAATAATTAACAAATTGAAAGGAAAGGTCTCCATCTGCACACAAAAATTGAAAACAATCATATAAGTTTCAGAGCTTAGAAAAACCAATAGAACCCAGTATCAAACGCCGGCAGATGAAGTTCGTGTGCAAACTATCGAGAAGCACTCTTCTCTGTCGATCACAATCCTAATCCCAACAGCTGATTGCAAACATGACAGAAGACCCAACACTAAAATAATTACCAAATTGAAAGGAAACGTCTCCATCTGCACACACAAAGTGAAAACAATCATATAAGTTTCAGAGCTTAGAAAAACCAATAGAACCCGGTATCAAACGCCGGCAGATGAAGTTCGTGTGCAAACTATCCAGAAAATAGCGAAGGGTGGGAAGAAATCATAAGACGAGCTACAAGAAAGTTCTTCAGTCAGATTAAGACGCATGGTCAACGGAATCAGGAGAAATTGGACACATTAGATCAGCTTCTAGGGCTCTCTAAGCTATACCGAGCTCGTCGATTCTTTGGTTTTCCAATGGAATTGAGGCAACATAGATCAGAATAGTAAGAACAAAGTACCTGGATTGGCGAATACCTTCGTTGAAAAAAAAAATCAGAAAACGTAAAAAAACGAGCAAGATCTGAATTGGCCTTCAGATGGAGTAGGAGCCAACGAAATGGTGGCGATGATGCCGGGCTACGTTATTTTTTAATATTTGCAAATTACATATTTGCGCACCAAATACCTATATATATATATATATATAATCAATTTATTAAATTTAATCATGTATGCAATTTAATTTAAGCTAGTAGAGTTAAATTTAACAAAATAAGGGTAGAATTAAAAAATTTATGGATTTAATCTCAACCGTCCAATTTGATCATTCAGTAGGGATTAATTAAATTATCAGGTGTAATTATCATGATAATTATAAAGAATTCATATTTAAATAAGGATTAAACATGAAATTTATTTATGCTAATTATAAAAAAACAGTTCACAACTCAAGCAAAATTTTATATCATATTTAAAAAAATTAAATAAATATGGCAATTTTATCTCAAAATAAAAATAAAAAAATAGAAATATTGGAGTGAGTGATAGTTTGGTTTGATCTTATGTTGATAGTTTTGTTATTTGGATAATTGTTTTATTCAATCAAAATGTCTTTGATTCTAATCAATGTAATATTGTTATTTAAAAAAGTTTTTTTTTAGCATAGATATTTAACCGCTGTCACCTCCTTAGCAGGTGTTTGATGGCGTAACTAATCTATCAGCAAATCTAACAGCAAACAACCCAGTAACCCACAGACATCTGGTTCACACTTAGTGTGCTCCCCTTAAAAGAGATGAGCTGCTTCGAACATGAGTTGGAGGTTCGCTATCATGCTCGCCCTACCAACCAAACTAAACCCGGTGGGTTATTCAGAAAGTTCAACGATAATTATGATAATTCTGATAGGGAAAATCATTCCTTTTATATATGTATGACAGATTACAGAATCATTTATATTAGCAAAAAACAAAGGAGAAATAAAGAAATTTCTAACGGTTGGAGGTGGCAGATAACCTACAAACAAAGCCTCCCTTTTTTTTCTCAACCCCCTGTTCTCTCTCCTCTACAACACCCTACAACATTGGCCTCTCTCTCTCTCTCTCTCTCATTTTGAATGCCATGATAAAAACATAGCCAGCGAGCGCTTCTATGTTAGCTTGTGGTCTTTATCTTGATAGGAGAATGCCTTCACAAATATTTCTCTCAACCACTCATTATAGTGGCTAAACTCCCTCCCTCTCTCTCTTCTCTAAACCTTATTTTAAATGTTTCACCATTCTTATTACCTTCGTTTGCCCTTTCTTCTTCTTCTTTTGGAACGATTTCCTTGGTAGAAGAAAACCATGGTTAATATCCTTCATTCTCAATGCCAAATGATGTAATGTTATGATGTTGAAGTTAGAAGCAGAGAGGATTTCCAGCAGTGGAAGGCTGGTAATGTGGTTGAGAGCAGAAGATAGGAATGGAAAGAAGAGAGAGATTGGTGGGTTGTGTGTGAGAGGAAGTGTTGTAGGAGGTGGCGGAGTGAGGGTGATAAATGGGAGGAAGGTGAACGGCGTAGTGGTCGGCGAGAACAAGGCGGCGGCGAGCTATTTGGAGAGGGAAGGGGCTGAAGGGAAGGCTTTGAATGCTTTCAAGTTAGGAAGGTTTGTTGAAGAGAGATTTGTTTATAGGCAAACATTTGTTATAAGGTCTTATGAGATTGGCCCTGACAAGACTTCTACCATGGAGACACTAATGAATCTCCTTCAGGTTAGTAGCCATTGGTGGGTTTTGTTTTTGCATTTTATTTTACTGTGAAATTATTGTGAAAAATATAAATTTTTAGAGTTATTGTGAGTATTATAAATTTTTGTTGGGAAAAAAAAATCAAACAATAACTTTTTAATAAATGCCAGGCTTAGATTTAAATCTGGTTGTGAAAAGCCCTTTTTTACCACAAAATTTTTGGAGAAACAGCAAAAGAAGACAAGAAAGCCTCCTAATTAATGATAAAAATTGCTATTTGTATTGGGATTTGCTGATGTCTTTAATCTAATAAAAAAGGTCTGCTTGTGTATTATATTCAAGAACGATAGCTTCTCTGAAATTTATTGAACAAACTATAAGAATATTGTTTCATTACTAGCCGTTCAAGAATCCTTGAGCATTTTGCTTATTGAAGAAATAGGAGAATCTGTCAACGTGGCTGAAATAGGAGAAACTGTCAAATTAGATTTAAGAGTCACGGAACTATTTTAGATCAGATTTGAGAAGTTCACGAGATAAATCACACATATAAGAAGATATGGGACTAAAAAAACTCCTCATAAATGGTCTAAGGACCATTTTAATTTTTTTTTCTATGAAAAATTTATCTATAACTTCTCTCACAACTGATGCAGAGCATCTTAGTTAAAATACTCCTTAGGCATAACTGTTTTAATTTATTAGCTGCTTCTAGAACCTTCTAGGTTTATCTACTTGATTAGTATAAATTGAATGGTTGTAAGATCAAATATATGAATGAAAATTTTCGGAATTGAAACAGTATTTTTACTGTTTTTAGGTGTTAGAGCTGTTTAGTTCTTAGATTTATCTTCTTCATGTTTTCTCCCCACATCAACAACTACGTATGTCATAGAAGCTTTGTCATCTATATATTTGGGATGAGCTCTTTCACCTCATTCTAATTTGAAAGACTAATTTCTGTCAAGACAGTTAGGACTTATTTGTAGGAAGAACTCAAGGAAATGTAAGGTTATATGCTCAACAAATTATCAAAATTTCACAAGGCTATGTTACATAAAGAAACAAGAGCTTTTCTCAGCAAGGGATTTGTTGCTGAGAAAATGAAATTGATAATTCTAATCTGTAATTGCTAACAATGACTAGTTTATCAATTACTAAACTTATCAGATCTTATAATAAAATGCTTGCAGGAGACAGCACTTAACCATGTCATGAGCTCTGGTTTAGCTAGTGATGGTTTTGGTGCAACTCATGAGATGAGCCTCAGAAAACTGATTTGGGTTGTCACTCGAGTAAACATTCAGGTTGATAAATATAGTAGCTGGTACTCACTCTTCAGCTCTGCCCTTCTGTTCTTTATTAAGCTTCATTCCATCTGTAAGAGTTCTTCAGACTAATACAGGGAAACCAATGTGATTTTCATGATTACTAGGGGGGATGTTGTAGAGATTGATACCTGGGTTGCAGCATCTGGCAAGAATGGAATGAGAAGAGATTGGATTATTCGAGATTACAGCACTAAAAAGACACTCACAAGAGCTACAAGGTAAGCTCATCTTCTTCTTTCTTTTTCACTTTTTTTTTAATGGTGAGTACCAAAATATAAATGTTAGTAATGTTAGTGTAAAACTAAGGCTTCATTTGGGTTGGCTTTCTTACTGCTTCTTAAAGCAGCTTTCTAATACAAAATTTTTAATTTTTATACTATAATGTGTTTTAAAAAGCAGTAAAAAAGCCGTCCCAAACAAAGCCTAAGTTAGCATACCCCAACTTGGACAAGCCTGGGGCTCTTTCGTGCTCTCTATAGAACTGTTACACTTACATGTTTGTAATTTCTTCCTCTACATTATGGCTTTTTTAATTTTTTGGTAACCCTATTTGAAATCAATGTTAGCTAAACAAAATCTTGTGAATTCAGTAACTGGGTGATAATGCATAGAGAAACAAGAAGGCTTTCAAAAATACCAGAGCAAGTGAGGGAAGAAGTCATGCCTTTCTATTTGGATAGATATGTCATCTTTGAAGCTGAAGATGACAGAACAATAGATAAACTAAATGATGAAACGGCAGAGAATATCAGATCAGGTTTAGCTGTAAGTGTAACTACTGATTTCCTTTGTGGTAGAATACAAGCCTTATAACAGTTTAACTTCTCTTCCTGTAATTTAGCCAAGATGGAATGACATGGATGTCAATCAACATGTGAACAATGTCAAGTACATTGGATGGATTTTAGAGGTACTTATACTTCGAAATTCAAATATATGAAAGTTTCATTTGGGACAATTTTTTTGTTGCTTTCTATAACAGTTTTCTACTACAAAAATTTCTTGAATTCGAAAATTTATACTAGAAAGTCGTTTTAGTAAGCAATACGAAAGCAATCCCAAACGAAGCCAAAATCTTTTATCAAATATGTATATGTATCAAACCGCAAGAACTACTGTAATTCACTGCTATTGTCTTAGAGTGTTCCAATGAAAGTACTGGAAGAGTATCACCTGACAAGCATGACACTGGAATATCGTCGAGAATGCCGGCAGTCGCATTTACTTGAGTCCCTCACAACCATGAAAACAAGTATTGCAGAAGATACAGATTCAGACAATTCAGCTCTTAGAAGCACTCACTTACTTCGTTTACAGGAGAACAAATCAGAGATTGTTAGAGCAAGAGCACAATGGTGCATCAAAGAACAAGCATAACATATTGGCATTATATAGTATAAGAGCTACATCATCCCAATTCATTCATCATATTTCTGATATTCTTTGCTTTGTGAGAGCTTAAAGCGAAATATTTTGGGAACAAAGAGTTTTTTTCCATTAGCGATTTCCATGTTCTTATATGTCTGTCTGTCGTGTTTTTGGTTGATAAAAACATTTATATTTAGTTAATGCACAATGCCTTCAATACAAAATTTAAGCTTGTAACCGATTAAATTTAGTGGGCTACCACTTTTGTCCTTAAAAGCTTCTGCAAAAAGGGCCTAGCTAGTTCAGTGCACACTTTGAATGGATGTAATTTAACTATATAGAAATGGAGAAATTATGGTTCAATCTTCAATGGAGAAATAACTAATATTGAAAGGTAAATATGAGAACAACAATATAAGCAAAGACTGTTCAACCCCAACAACAATACAAATACAACATAACATAAACTTAAGTATCAAATACAATAACTAATGCTGAGAAGTTTACACCTCTAATGATGGTCCATCAAGCAACCTGATAGAACTTATTATAAAAAAGTTTACAATGGATGAATATGACATTTCAAGCTCAATAAGCTTAATGACAAGATATTGAGGCATGTACTATGAACAATAAAAGAGGTAAAATGTATAGTATACTTCCAATATGATAAATTTCTTCTGGTTATCATATTAAAATAATAACTTATAACATGAATGAAAGCATGGCACATGTTTTAAGGTGATATGATCATTTGTATGGAAACAGTGATAAGTACATTCTTATACTAATATACCCACATGTAATCACATTTGGTATAATCATACATATGTGTAGCTAGCTAGCTCATCAGTTATTTATCATCTTGCTTATACATATACATACATATACATATATATACATACATACATATACATATACATATACATACATACATATACATATATAGTGGTGGGAATCATTTGTAATCTACAATATATTCTAGTGGAAATATTTTAACTAGGTTTAGCCTGATGATTTTTTCTATATTCAAATTTCCACGTGCATATTCACATGCAAAGAAGCTTGTGTGTATATTAGAGTAAAATTTTAATTTGTTACTATAAAAAAATAATTTATTTAATTTTAAATCAAATCGATTCTTTTGTTTAGATCAATGTCAGATTGGAATAAATGAACCGTTCATAACTTGAATTAAGATTAGCCTCTAGTAAGGCTTGGTTCGGCTTGAGATCCATTTTGAATGACTTAAAGGTAATTTCAAGCATGATAAAGATTTGGATTAGCATATCATAATTAACTTTTTTATGAGGATGAGTATAAAAATCATTTAGGGGTTGTTTGGTTGCTGGTTTGCTGCATTAGGAGTGTAAAATATTTCAAGCGCAGGGGTTTTGAAAATATTGACGTTTGATTTAAAGTAAAACAAATGCAGAATAAAATTTTGGTGCGTTTGGTATCTTCTAGTTCATTTTTTTGATGGCTAATACAATCCTACTAACTAAATGAACAAGATCATGCTCTCTTGAGATTAGCTCTCATGTCACTGGATTCTTCTAACTCTCATCGTGTAATATGCTTCATGTGATGTATGTCACGACCCTATCGAAACGAATCCCATTGCGTTGAGTCACGATGGATGAATCCAGGATCTAGCTTTGGAATTTGTTTTCAGACTTTCTTCCAATATACACAGGACTACAGAAACGCATAACTACTACAAACATCCAAATATACAGAAAATCTCATCCAACATTTTCTTCTTTCTTTCATCAAAATAATTATGTACATTACAGTGCATGGCTATAAATAGAAAGTACAAAACAGAAAAGCAGAATAGTCATGACTGTACAAAAATTAAAAGTACAAAAATACATAATCTCAGATCAGATACAGAACAGCTAGTCCAAAATCTCCTTCCCTTTTTCAGAACCTAAAAACCATGAAGATAATCACAGTGAGCTATCAGCTCAGCAAAACTATACTAGCCGATCAAAATCTTCAGAAACTCATTCCAAAATACTCACAAAAAGCTTTAAAATAGTTTATTCAAATAGCCGTACAGAATTCAGATAATCGTATAGAAACCATATAATTAGACATAATGTAGATATTCGTACAAAACAGATAAACAAACAGACTTCAGATATTCACACAGAATAGATAATCATATGAAAATTAATTAACATATACAAAAAAATTGAATCAAATTCGTATCACAGAATCGTATAAATCACAAATCACATTTTTCAAATCATATATCAAATCACATATCAGATCACATATCCCTGATCCAGACATAATCTCAAACGATTCTGGCCCCTTATGCCTCCCTTCTCTGACACAGACAGAATCTCAAAGGATTCTGGCCCCTTATGCCTCCTTTTATGCTTGCAGCACCAGAATATATCATATATACAGAATTATCATATCAGAATTCATTTTCATATTCTCTGACACAGACAGAATCTCAAAGGATTCTGACCTCTTATGCCTCCCTTCCCTGACACAGACAGAATCTCAAAGGATTCCGGCCCCTTATAACTCCTTTCTGATATCATTCAAATCACATCAAACATCAAATCATATCAGATTCAGAGAAATCGGATTAGTATCAGAAAATCGTCAGAGTATAACGGCAGACAACAAAAACTCAACGGATCAAAATTCACAGTTTTAGAAAATTACCAAATTACCAGAGATTGTGTAAAACATCATTTCAAGACTTTTCTTGTACTGAAGCAATATTTTTCAACATGCAGATAATTTACTATTCGATAAAAATCAATTCACTAACTCTCCTGAAAAAGAGATGTCACATAATTCAAAATATACAGTGAAAATTCTCCAAAAAATACTCAAAACGTGTAAAATCATAATCTCTAAAACATACCAAAAGTTACACGGTAAAAGTTTTACCGGTGCGAAGATATACCCATTTTTTTGCTAACGGAAACAAAATATTAAATAGAAAATCCATCAAAAATCACATTTATGAAAATTGAGAAAGGCATAATGTGCTTTACCTCGAGTCGATCAACTTTCCCAACTACGACGATGGACGAAAACGGACCGAAGACGCCCAAAACGCAGATTTCCTCCTTATCCCTTCGTTTTCTCTCTCCTGCCCTTTCTCTCTCTTCAAAATATCTTATTTCGAATACTTAAAAAACTCGATCGTCCGAATGATTTCCTTGGTTCTTCCCTGGATGATCTCCTCGGTAGGCTGATCTTACAGACGATAATTAATTTCTTCCTTGGACGGTGCCCTCAGGTTGCCTTCGTACGAACGATAATTATTTTCGTCCTGGGACGATGCTCTCGGGTTGCCAATGTTTCAACTGTTCGCCCCGGACAATCCCAACTTCGTCCGGACGAACCTGGAAGGAAATCTCAAATCATACCAAAACATAAAAGAAAAGAAAAAGAAGGCTTTCACAATTTTGGTGCGTTTGGTATCATCTAGTTCATTTTTTTGATGGCTAATACAATCCTACTAACTAAATGAACAAGATAATGCTCTCTTGAGGTTAGCTCTCATGTCACTGGATTCTTCTAACTCTCATAGTGTAATATGCTTCATGTGATGTATGTAACGACCCAACCAGATCGAAACGAATCCCATCGCGTTGAGTCGCGACGGATGAATCCAGGATCTAGCTTTAGAATTTATTTTTAGACTTTCTTCCAATATACACAGGACTACAGAAACGCGGAACTACTACAAACATCCAAATATACAGAAAATCTCATCCAACATTTTCTTCTTTCTTTCATCAAAATAATCATGTGCATTACAATGCATGGCTATAAACAAAAAATACAGAACAAAAAAGCAGAATAGCTATGACCGTATAAAAATTAAAAGTAAAAAAATACATAATCTCAGATCAGATACAGAACGGCTAGTCCAAAATCACCTTCCCTTTCCCAGAACCTAAAAATCATGAAGATAATCACAGTGAGCTAACAGCTCAGCAAGACTACACTAGCCGATCAAAATCTCCAGAAACTCATTCCAAAATACTCACAAAAAGCTTTAAAAATAGTTTATTCAAATAGCCGTATAGAATTCAGATAATCGTATAGAAACTATATAATTAGACAGAATGCAGATATTCGTACAGAACAGATAAACAAACAGACTTCAGATATTCACACATAATAGATAATCAGATGAAAATCAATTAACATATACAAAAGAACTGAATCAAATTCGTATCACAAAATCGTATAAATCACAAATCACATTTTTCAAATCATATATCAAATCACATATCAGATCACATATCCCTGACCCAGACAGAATCTCAAAGGATTCTGGCCCCTTATGTCTCCCTTCCCTGACACATACAGAATCTCAAAGGATTCTGGCCCCTTGTGCCTCCCTTTGTGCTTACAGCACCAGAATATATCAGATATACAGAATTATCATATCAGAATTCATTTTCATATTCCCTGACACAGACAGAATCTCAAAGGATTCTGGCCCCTTATGCCTCCCTTCCCTGACACAGAAAGAAGCTCAAAGGATTCCGTCCCCTTATAATTCTTTTCTGATATCATTCAAATCACCTCAAACATCAAATCATATCAGATTCAGAGAAATCAGATTTGTATCAAAAAATCGTTAGAGTATAACGACAGACAACAAAAATTCAACGGATCAAAATTCACAGTTTCACAAAATTACCAAATTACCAGAGATTGTGTAAAACATCATTTCAAGATTTTTTTTGTACTGAAGCAATACTTTTCAACATCCATGTAATTTACTATTCGATAAAATTTCCACATAATTCAAAATATCCAATGAAAATTCTCCAAAAAATACTCAAAAAGTGTAAAATCATAATCTCTAAAACATACCAAAAGTTACACGGTAAAAGTTTTACCGGTGCGAAGATATACCCATTTTTTTCTAACGAAAACAAAATCTTAAATAGAAAATCCATCAAAAATCACATTTCTGAAAATTGAGAAAGGCATAATGTGCTTTACCTCGAGTCGATCAACTTTCTCAACTACGACGATGGACGAAAACGGACCGAAGACGCCCAAAACGCAGATTTCCTCCTTATCCCTTCGTTTTCTCTCTCCTGCCCTTTCTCTCTCTTCAA